GGAAGAAGTTGAGCCAACCAGCGGATGGACTGTCAGTGAGGTACTGGTATAGGTGACATATTCCGATAAAAGACCACCATAAAAGATCAGTCCAGGATGTAATGAACGTTCCACCTTCATCAGCTCAATCATCAATAGGTACAGTTTGCTGATATAAATTTCTCACACGCTCGTCGCCCTCAGAGAGATGCGAGACAATAAAATAAATATGGATGTGCTTTGTTTGAGTCGTGGAGTAGCTCTGAGGTAGTGGCCTCGTTTTGCAGCTTGGCTCTGTCACCATGCTGATCGTGCTGCATGAAAAAGATACGACTCTCCGCGACGTCCACAAGTCAACATAACAAGACCTATCGAAGGTGAACTTTGGGGTTCACTTAAGGGAATCGATCTCGAGCATGTGCCACTTTAAATCAATTCAAATTAGTTATGTAGGGCTACTGCTGCACCCAAGTCACTGGAAAAGGAGTGGTATGCGTCTGCATGCTAATATCACAGTTGTATCCGAGGTTCTGAAGGTCAGAGTTATTTTTTTCTGCAAGTGAAGATATGGAGATCATTTGTAGCAAACCAAAATTCCGCTTTAAATAGAGCACATGGCGAGGATCTAATCTTGTGGTGCAGATAAGTCGGAAATATGCTCACTATACTATTCTTCTTATGTAAATGAGCTTGTGACCAATTTACTTTTAGATGTACGACGACACGCGGTCCGTTAAGAGGAGTAACGCTGAGTTGATAAATGGCCTCATTGGTATGGAACTCGGCAAATTGTCGGCGGTCGGCAAGAGGTGAGAGCTCTTCGTAATAGCCATAGCAATTACCTAAAAATGAGTTTTTGCTAAGGTGTTGTGGATATAATGTTAGGTATGATGATGATTAGGTGGCCTTCAGATCGAATGCAGAACTTATCAACGGTCTACTAGGGATGAATCTGAATAAACTGAGCTCAGTCGGTCGACGATAACTACTCAGCTAGCGGAACCATAGCGGCGACACATTGCAAACATCCGCAATCATCGGTCATTTAAATGAGAAATTTCATGTGTATGTGCGTGTGTGTATCGTTTTCTATTCGTGACTATCGTCTTTATGGGTGTTATCCTGACGCTTCAGTCTAATCCCGATTTCTTCGAGTATTTCTCTGGCTCGTTCCACTCACTGTTTCGCTCGCTATTGGTCTTGTTAACTGTTCAATGTGAAGTGTGTGAGATGAATGAAGTCTAAGTCGTAATGTGTGCTTTTTACCCATCACTAAACCGTCCGGAATGAAGCAAATGCAAAAATACGCTATTTCTGCAACAAAGTTTTTATGGAAAATGTTCATATACATACCTAGCACATGTAGATGAGAGGACTTCAGCTGAGGCCTCCTATGAGGAGGAAAGCATCATTACCAAAGTTTGCGCAAGTAGAAAGATTCTTGAGTGAATTGCTCTATATCATGGCCAACACACTGAACAATGCTTTGAACATTGTCATTTTACAAGTGAATGCTGGAAGTTCCCAAAAATCTGTTCAGTACACGGCCATAGGAGACTTGTGACAAAGGTAGTAAATCAGCTCCAAGAGTTCACATAAAGAGTGCTCGGAGCTGTGCTTAAATTTTCATCGCTTTCGTCTAAAATATGGAATTTTCGAATAGGCACCATTTTGCATGTATTGCGAACAATGCCAAAGCAAATTATCCCGCTGGAGGATTCCAGTACTTTCAGTGTAAACCACGACAAAAAATTCTTGCATGAAAAAGTATACGCTTAACGACTTTAGCACTTTGCAGTCTTGCAAACCTTTACTCTTTGGCTTTAGAATAATCGAGGGCAAGAGGGTACAGAAGTGAATTCGATGGGATTTGGATTATGCAAAAATAGTTTGCAGCCATCTCATAAATCCTCAAAGGAAGTCAGTGAGGAAAAGCTAGGCCAGCTTTTTCTAAGACTTCGAGCATTCGTGAGTGTTCATGGTTCACGTATGAAATACCACTCAATTAATAGAAGAGTAGTGAAGCGCTTAGTGAACAGTCTAAGGGGATCTAGTGCTCTACTAAGACGTTGCATTTCTTGCTCAACAGAATTATCAACTTAGAAAAGAAGAAAACAGTGAATGTGCTTAATCATGTGCTTACATCGACTTCTTGTCCAACTCACTTATTCTAGCAATCCTACTTATTAACCCGTAGAGGCCGATGCTGTTTGTTTTTTCTTTCGATAACTACTGACGATTTTTCGATAACTAGAGTAGGTGGAGTAGTTGAGATCCTAGAAGCCTTATAGAAACCTTTACCGTTTTGCTCTAAATGTATGAGCGATTTTTCTCCAATATCCCTTCGATTTCAAATCGGTTTGAAGTCGACATTTATGAAAAATCCTAAGGGGTATTTGTAATTTTAAAATTGCAGTCCTAATGGCAGCAGTTGCAAACATCGGAGACCATCACAACCTCAGTTCTTCCTCAGTCCCCTCAATTTTTGAACCATGGCAAAGGAAGGTGCTCAAGAAAATACGTTTCGTAGGCCCCAAAAACCAGGATTTTGTCATTGTGAAATAAGGAGGTTCATGAGAGAACTAAAAGTCCAATACCTTCTTGAATTAGTAAGTCAAGAAGATGTTAGTGAGAAGAGTTGTTCGACTAGCAGTTGCTGAAAAAATTAGGGTTAAAATTAAATAAAGTTCATTGAAATACGTTTGTTAAAAGTAGGATGTCGCAATTATTCTCGGCAACGCCCGATTGTATACAATGCGCATCGTCCATTATAGGTGCAAAACCACCTTGTCACAGTCCTTATTTCTGCTTCATCTAAGTGGTCTTCCCACATTTCTTTCTGTATGATGGATTTGATTCAGACGTTGAACATCTGCAGAATAACAGTGTGCCTGAACATCAACTCTTGAAGAAACGAATCAAAGCAGATTCAACAGTTTTTTCGAGGTCGAGCATTAACTTTAGAGACAAACAACCAGCTACAGCTGTGAACTGGAGCCCACACGTGCTCATTGTGCTTGCCACTGCTTTATGGGTGACAAATGTATTTTCTCATTCCATTCTTTCTTGTCAATATAATTAACACAGAACGATTACTGAGACCGAATAACGACGAAAGAGCATTGTCTCTCAGTAATGAGGATGGGGCGTGGAAGGAATGACGTGCGGGATAAACACACGAGATCAAAAAATGAATGACGATAGGTGATGGAGCTTTTCGTCGTTGGAACGATTCATCTTGAGAGAGAGAGAGAGAACAACAGTTCGTTGCTGTTTGGAAAGGTACGATGAAATCTAATGGAGGTGAACATTGTAGGTTGAATGGAAATAATGAGTTCATAATCGAATGGCATCTAGTGCTTTGAAGTACCGCCGGAATCGCTGCCGGCCACCTGGTTGGTACATCGCGTGTGGAGGTTTTTTCCTTTCCTTTTCACACCTACTCGTTTTTTACGCAGTGGTTTATTAATCGCTTTGCGTGATTCTACACAAAATTTGAAGCAAGCATGACAACTGTGGTTGTCCCCTGCTAATAAATCGTTTAGAGAAAACACCTTATTTTACTGATATCAATCATATATTGTTCTCTCATTTATCCCTTCACACTTGGTTGATAGATAGTGAACGTCATTCATCAACCTATACCATTCAGGAGGGCGCTTATGTTTTCTCTGTAGCTCGTTATCTACTGTAATGATGTGTCAACAATTCGGGAAACATCGGATGTTTATGAATGAGGAGAGCAGCGGGGGATGCTCGATCATGTTTACTTCGCCGTGATTGAGCCTTTTAGTCAGCTGGAAACGGGAAGGAAAGCTAATCTCAATAGTAGTGCATAGAAAACGAAATTCGGTTGTGTTGGTGGTGATGAATGATCGCCTTCATTTCGTTTGCGATCATCGTGCCTAATGAGCAGTCGAGAATGAACTCGCTCGCAGAGCTCAGTATCGAATCACCACTGCTTCTTCGTCAGTAGAAATGTCAAGGGTGGGCATCTATTTAAACCTAGCTCCATTAAGTCCAGATATGGTAGCGATACATAGGAAGTAAGGTGGTATAGGTGTTTTGTCCTTAGGAATTCGTTCACTCTGAGAGTACTCGAATATCCACATCTTCATTCTATTCACAGTGGAATATTTCTTCTTAGAAGTTACCGGATTTTTGGTCTGCGTACACTGAATGTTTTAACATTCGTTACAATTCAAACGATACTAAGGATTCAAATATTATACAATGTTGAATAGACCAGTTAACACATTCCATTCCATCTAAGTCCTCTTGCTGCTATACATATTTGAATCCATTGAGAATAAGTCGCTCGATTGGATTCGTGGAATCACTGGATTTGATTACGGCAATAATACGCGGAGCTTATGTAAAATTGGATATCCAAAATCAGAACAAGCAGCAATAGCGATATATGGTGCATATGAACTTCTATCTTGACATGTAATGAGAAAACCCAGACCGCCTTTTTCCGGCATCGCCTTCAGGTCCTCTACAAATGAATGACACATCGGAAGTGTTGATGAAGCTCAGAATAAAACTAATAGAGGAAAGCTCTTTTTAACGAAGGTTCCCGAAATTTTTTGTTCAGCTTGAATGAAAATCACTCACGCCGTAGTGGCAGTCCCACTTGGACTCGGGTGAAGCGCATCATTAGCATATTTGTTTGAAAGTTTTCGAAGAAATGAGTACTGATTGCACGCAAACATCGAACCGAGCGGAAGTAGACAAGACGAACCGAGCAACATGACCTCCGTTTCTAATTTTTCCACTTTAATCTTTTCCTCTTTCTTTAGGTACACATTCGCAAAGGCAACGGTTCTATGTAACTCCTGAGTATGTTTGAGAACGGAAACATTTCTGGCTTATTGTCAGAGCTAGCTCGGCTTTTCTCAAAATGTCACGGGTATAACCTCCATAGAGATTGTCGACGGACTGCGACACTGTTTGTTTTCATTTAGGGTGCTTTCTTATTGACAGCGCAACTGTCGAATAATTGTTGTCTATGGGACTCCAATCCGAGTCGACGCTGTCTTCAACTGTACTACTCATCTACTTCTCGCAAGGTTTATCGAAAGCCGTTCAATTCTCTCAATTTTCAACGTATCACACCGACAAAACAGCGTTACTCAGTTGTGGAAAACAATAAGAACCTCTCTGTGGAGTTAGCATAACACTATGTCTAGGGTTAAAGTAGTTCACTTCCAGCAACTAAGCAAACGTCGTGGACAAAGTTTTGGAGTGGGACGTAGACAAGGGTGTGCTGGAAATCAGAAGGTCGGATGATGTAAGAAATTAAAAAGAATCATGTGTGAAACCACTATAAAGATGTAAAAACATTTGTTGAAAACAGTTGTCAACACTCCAGAAAGTTCTGTAGTCAATCCGCATGAAGTTATCACTTTCAACCTTTGCAGAACAAAGGTGTCACTGCGAAGACGGTAGTTCCGATGACCGTGGATCTCGACTCGCTTGCAAGTCGGTCGATCCTCACTAAAGCTTAGGTCTGAAAGTTCTGGAAAGCATATTGCTTTTTTCAAATACGTAAGAGTGGGAATATGAAATTTGCACTAGAAATACTTCCTATCCAACTACCCATAAAATGAGGTTCTCCAGTGAGGTCTAAATTAGGACAATGAGCCATGTTGATTGCAGCATTTTTCCTCGCGATTTATGGGGCACTTTTAGAAAAAGTAAGGAGATCCTTGACACTACACTTTTCTGCCTAGCTAGAGATTTCATTGAGCCATTAGTGTTGGATGTTATCAACTTCTTTTCTAATGAACTGCATAATTAATAAAACAGCTAAATTTGTGCATAATCTCTGCTTATCGGTATATAAATAGGGTCCAAAATGAGGTAGCGTTCAGCGTTGATCCTTCGTTTAAGAATGCGCCATGCATTGGGCTCCGTTCGTAGAGTTATAGATGTGGCTGAATATATATCTGACCTGTACAGTGACTTGACGAAGTTCATCGA